CACGTGTCCTTATAGTAGAACGATTTGTAATCCTTTGGATATATACCCAGTAATGGGATTGCTGGGTCAAATGGAATTTCTATTTCTAGGTCCTTGAGGAATCGCCACACTGTCTTCCACAATGGTTGAACTAATTTACACTCCCACCAACAGTGCAAAAGTGTTCCTATTTCTCCACATCCTCTCCAGCATCTGTTGTCTCCAGATTTTTTAATGATCGCCATTCTAACTGGCGTGAGATGGTATCTCAATGTTGTTTTGATTTGCATTTCTCTGATGACCAGTGATGATGAGCATTTTTTCATATGTTTTTTGGCCTCATGTAATTCATGTGTATTTTTTAACAGTGCTTAAGAAAAGATGCAGAGTCTCGTAGAAGAGAACTTCATATTCGAACATATGCAGTTATTCCACTGAATGATGAATGTGGGATTATTGAATGGGTGAACAACACTGCTGGTTTGAGACCTATTCTAACCAAACTATATAAGGAAAAGGGTACTAAAATTCATTCTTATAAGTATATAGTGTGGGTATAATAGTTACTAAGTTATATAATATGGATAAAATTGGTATTAATATATGTTAGTATATTTTTTTATATGTCATAGTGAAATTTCTAGATTTTATATACAGAAACACTTTAGTGTTTCCCTCCTTCTCCCCCATCCCCTCCCTCCCCTTCCTCTCTCCCACTCCCTCCCCTCCCACTCATCCTTCCCTCCCTCCTCCCTTCCCTCCCCTCCCCTCCCCTACCTATTTTGATTCCTTCCCTGTCTTCATCCAAAAAGAATTTGAGATAGCTTACAAAACTATATATGAATATTTGTTTTTCACAGATACTGGTTAACAATTCTGAAACTATTTTATGTGTATACAGTACTATTCTTTAGCAAATAAGTAAATATGTTGTGTCTAATGAGAGCCAGTTTTCTCACTGTTGGAGAAAGGAAAGGAAAGAGAGAAGGCTAGAATGAAGTCTGACATTTTAGATTGGAATAAGAGGCTCCAACTGTCCAAACCTGGGATAATTTGAGCAAAGAAATAAATAATGACTGTAAACTATTATAACTCATGGAATAAATAATTAAACATGAATCCATACTGATATAAACAAATATGTAAATAAATAAATAGAAGTAGGAATAGTTCCTTATATTCTAATACCATTTCAATGAATAAATGTAGAAAGGAAGATGGAAATAGGAAATCACCAATTAGCAAAAATTATAGTAATAATTATTATGGGCAATGATTATTAATAGATGCTAAAATTAATAGGCAAAAGTATGAGAAACAGGTTATTTAAAGAATCTCAAAGTATCTCCCTGTCAGATACTTATTAATTATAAAGGGAAAAGTATAGTAACTTTACAGTAGAGAAACAAAAATTTCTGGTCAGAACTCTTTACAAATGTCAAAGTAATGAAAGACAAAGAAAAATATTTCCCAGATTTAATAACATTAAGGGGACATGACAACTAAATGTAATGTGGAATCCTAGATTGGATCCTGACCCCCAAAGTGTGCTAGCGGGACAGCTGGTGGAATTTGAATAAGGTCGGAAGTTTGGTTAATAATACTGTAACAATAGAATTTCCTGATTTGAATAACTGTACTATTGTACTATGGTTACGCATGATATGAACATTAAGGAAGGCTGGGTAAAGAATATGTGGGATCTCCATATCATTGATGCAACTTGTTTTTATAACATCTAAACTTATTTTAAAATAAAACATTTTTGAAGTGCATATGGTGTAATATATTACAAATGAGTAGATCAGGTTCTGGAAGCTAAAGATACAAAATCAAGGTGCCATTAGGATCATGACCTCTCTGAAGACCTTTCTTTTGCCTTCTGGTGTTCTGTGACTTCTGGCTGTATAGTACCACATTGCCTTTATTGTTACATATTATTGTCTCTATTTTCTTACAAGAACACCAGTCATTGGATTATTGAATTAAGGGCCCATCTTCATGACTTTATCTTAACAATATTACATCTGCAAAGACCCTGTTTCCAAATAACGCCCACATTCCCGAGTACCAAGAATTAGGATTTCAGCATATTTTTTGAGAGACAAAGTTCAATTTATAACTTTAAGTAATACTGATAAATTACTATATTGTGGGTATTGTGCTAAGTATATTATGTACATTATTTTATTATTAACATGCCTGATTAGCCCTATTTTATGGACAGTGCCAGAGAACTTATGTAACTTGTCTAATTTCACAGTTGCAATACTGAAACTCAAAGGGACTTGAGTCAGAGTTCAGAGAACTTGCTGTTGACTATTTTATGAGCATGAAATATTGTGTATGGATTTGGAAATATATTTTTTCTTTGATAATTTGTGTCAGTATAATTATGTATATATACATATAATTAATATATATGTACACATATATACAAAATAAGTTCATTCAAAGGGGACTTAATTCTGAGTCTTATATTCTGGAACTGTTTGATTTCACAACACTGGTTTTAGTTAACATTAATTTTCATCAATAAGAGGCTTCACTTGAGTAAGTACAGTGGTCCCTCCGTATCTGGGGGATTGCTTCCAGAATACCCTCACATACTAAAGTCCACACATACTCATGTCTCACAGCCCTACAGAACCTACATGTATGAAAAGTCACCCCTGAGTATACACTGATTTTGCATCCTATGTTTCTGATCCATGTTTGGTTGAAAAAAAATCACATGTAAGTGGAACCACACAGTTCAAACTCACATTGTTCAAGGGTCATCTGTGTTAAGGGAAGATAATGTGATTTATTATTTTATTATACAATCAGTAACTTTATGCTTAATTGAAAATTTTTTATTCTTGTTTCTCAATAACAATTTGAATAAAAGTAGATGTTTCCTGTCCAAGTTTAACAAAAAAACTTCGTCCCTTTTTTTCATTTGGCTGATGTGATTCATGAATATTACTCTTCCTCTCAGGAGTGTATATGACAGGAAAAGAACTTCGCCAGTGTATGCTACCAAAGTCAGCAGCTTTATCTGAAAAACTCAAAGTATTCCGAGAATTTCTCCTGCCCAGGCATCCTCCTATTTTTCATGAGTGGTTTCTGAGAACGTTCCCTGATCCTACATCATGGTAAGTTACCAACAATATAATATGTTGTTATGATTGAATGTTTATTCTTAATATTTTAGATTTATATTTGCCTAATGTGGTATATGGATATTTCATAGGCATTGTGTTTCTTTTAGGTACAGTAGCAGATCAGCATACTGCCGTTCTACTGCAGTAATGTCAATGGTTGGTTACATTCTGGGGCTTGGAGACCGCCATGGTGAAAATATTCTCTTTGATTCTTTGACTGGTGAATGTGTACATGTGGATTTCAACTGTCTTTTCAATAAGGTATGTGACATGAATTACTCTTACTGATGGTATGTTTTCTCCTAATTTCCTTTCCTCAACAACTGTTCTTCCTTGACATACCTGTTAGAAGCAGTTATACTCACAGTTGAGTTACATTGAGAATTTGTTGACTAGTTTTCATCAGTGGATCACATAGTAATGCATCTTAGGATGGAGAGAACTTAGAAGAGTGATATAGTGCAGCTGGCACTGAATTTGAAGTCTAAAAGCATAGGTTTACCTTCTGACTCAATTAGTTATTAGTGCAGATCAGTTCATTTTACTGAGACTCAGTTTTAGAGACAGAGTAGTTTCCAAATCTAGCAACATATCAGAATTATCCAAGAATTTAAAAAAATTTACAGCAGTTGTAACACCCAGGAGATTCAGATTCTTTAGGTCCAGAATGGGGCCTGGGAATAAATTAAGGCAATTGCACCCATCTTTCAGGCCCCCTATAATTATCCAGTATTATAATCCTGCAGGGCAAACGGGTAGGTTACCACACTATTTTCTTCACCCTCATCATCTACAGGTTGCCTTGTGTTGTCACAAGAAACCAAGAAAGATCATAGACCCAACTGAGAACAAATCAGAGATAAAACACTGGCATGGGTTAATCATACAAGAGAGGAATTTAGGGTAACTGATTAGAGGTATGAAAGGTCCCTAGAAAAGGCAGGTTAGAGGACAGCAGAAAATAAACAACTAGACTTCATTATATGACATGTTTTATTTCCTTTATGAGGGATGTGAGTGTCTGACCCTTGGCTGCTTCTCTTCTCTTGTTTTAAGATGAAAGTATTAAAGCAAAGTAGAAATATGTGAGAATATTTGTATTTTATATTATTTAAGAAAGACCTTAACTAAGTTAATATGGGACTAAATATTGAATGCATAAAGTTTCTCTGCAATACTGCTCATTCACTATACTAAACTCAGTGAAAGGTAAGTCCATTTATCTTCTAGATCTTACTCAAGATCAAGTGTGGTTTCAGTTCCATAAAAGCAAAGCCAGAGCTATATGGCACCTTCATGTTATAAACCTCTAATGTAGTTACAACATAAATATTTTGAGTGTATTTTTGCTCTTTGCTAAAAGCATCTGTACATGGGGCCAGGCGTGGTGGCTCATGCCTGTAATCCCGGCACTTTGGGAGGCCAAGGTGGGCAGATGACCTGAGGTCAGGAGTTCGAGACCATCCTGGCTAACATGGTGAAACCCCGTCTCTACTGAAAATACAAAAATTAGCCGGTTGTGGTGGCAGGTGCCTGTAATCTCAGCTACTTGGGAGGCCGAGGCAGGAGAATTGCTGGAACGTGGGAGGCGGAGGCTGCAGTGAGCTGAGATCATTGCCACTACACTCAAGCCTGGGTGACAGAGCAAAACTCCGTCTCAAAAAATGAAATTAAATTAAAAAAAAAAGAATCTGGACATGAAGTTCTTTGAGTAAAGATTTTTAAATTCTAACATTGTTAGTTTGTAACGAAATGTATTGTTTCTAAGGGAGAAACCTTTGAAGTTCCAGAAATTGTACCATTTCGCCTGACTCATAATATGGTTAATGGAATGGGTCCTATGGGAACAGAGGGTCTTTTTCGAAGAGCATGTGAAGTTACAATGAGGCTGATGCGCGATCAGCGAGAGCCTTTATTGAGGTAATCATCTATACTTTGTAAATAATTTAGCAGTATGTTTTTATATAGGAACCACTTTGCACTGACTGAAAGTTTTCTTAAATAGCTTTATGCAGATATAATTTACATACCATAAATTCACCCCTTTAAAAGTACATACTTCAGTGGTTTTTAGTATATTCACAAGATTTTGCAACCATTACCACTATCTAATTTTAAAACATTTTCATGAACCCAAAAAGAAATTCCATAGGCATTAGCAGTCACTCCCAATACCTTTCCCCTCCCACCCCCGCTATCTCTGTAACCACTCATGTATAATACTTTCTGTCTCTGGATTTACCTATTCTGGACATTTCATATAAATGGAGTCATTAATATGTGGCTTTTTTTTTTTTTTTTTTTGAGACTGAGTCTCACTTGGTTGCCCAGGCTGGGGGGGCAGTGGCACAATCTCAACTCACTGCAACCTCCACCTCTCGGGTTCAAGCAGTTCTCTCCCTCAGCCTCCCAAGTAGCTGGGACTACAGGCACCTACCAGCATGCCTGGCAAATTTTTGTATTTTTAGTAGAGATGGGGTTTCACCATCTTGGCCAGACTGGTCTTGAACTCCTGACCTCGTGATCCACCCATCTCAGCCTCCCAAAGTGCTGGGATTATAGGCATGAGCCACTGCACCAGTCATATGTGGCCTTTCATGTCTATCTTCTTTCACTTAATGTAATGTTTTCAGTGTTCAACATGTATCATTACTATATTTTTTATTGCCTAATGGTATCCTGTTATATGGATATATTACATTTTATTTTTCTGTTCATCAGTTATGACATTTGGATTGTTTTCCCCTTTTGTATTGTAAATAGCATGGCTGTGAACATTGTGTACAAGTTTTATGTGGACATATATTTTCAGTTCTCTTGTATATACTTGGGAGTGGAATTGCTGGGTCATATGTTAAATGCTACACTTAACATTTTGAAGAACTCTCAAAAATTATTTTCCAAAGCAGTTATAACACTTTATAACCAATAGTAATGCATGTGGGTTTCAATTTCCCTGCATCTTTTCCAATACTGGTTATTGTCTGCCTTTTTTATTTTACCCATTCTAGGGGTGTCAAGTTATATCTCATTGTGGTTTTAATTTGCATTTCCCTAATGACCAGTGATGGTGAGCAGCTTTTCATGTGCTTTTTGGCCATCTGTAGATCATCTTTGGACAAATGTCTATTGAAATCTTTTGCCCGCTTTTAAATTGGGTTGTCTTTTATTCTTTTTATTTATTTATTTATTTAAGACAGGGTCTTGCTCTGTCACCCAGGCTGGAGTGTAGTGGTGCTATCTCAGCTCACTGCAACCTATGCCTCCTGGATTCAAGCAATTCTCATGCCTCAGTTTCCTCAGCAGCTGGGACAGCAGGCATGTGTGTGCCACCACATCTGGCTAATTCTTGCATTTTTAATAGAGACTGGGTTTTACCATGTTGGCCAGTCTGGTCTCTTCAACTCCTGACGTCATGTGATCCACCTACCTCGGCCTCCCAAAGTGCTGGGATTATAGGCATGAGCCACCATGCCTGGCCTATTCTTGAGTTGCAAGAGTTCTTTTTTTTTTTTCCTTTTTTTTTTTTTTTTTTTTGAGACGGAGTCTCTCTTTGTTGCCCAGGATGGAGTGCAGTAACACAATCTCCACTCACTGCAACCTCTGCTTCCTGGGTTCAAACAATTCTCCTGCCTCAGCCTCTCCAGTAGCTGGGACTATAGGTATGTACCACCACATCTGGCTAATTTTTGTATTTTTAGTAGAGAAAGGGTTTCGCCATGTTGCCCAGACTGGTCTCAAACTCGTGAGATCAAGCCATCCACTCTCCTCAGCTTCCCAAAGTGCTGGGATTACAGGTGTGAGCCACCCCATCTGTCCAAGTTGCAAGGCTTCTTACATGTTTTGGATATAAGACCCTTCTTAGATATGATTTTCAAATATCTTCGTCTATCTGTGGGTGGTGTCTTCACTTTCTTTGATGATGGCCTTTGAAACATAAAAGTTTTAAATTTTGATGTAGTCTAATTTGGTTTTCTTTTTGTTTTTTTTCTTTTTATTCTGGTTATTTTGGTGTTTCTGGTGTCATAGCTAAGAAACTATTCCCTAATCCACAGTCATGAAGATTTGCACCTATGTGTTCTTTGAAGCATTTTCAACTTTTAACTCTGCTATTTAGATCTTTTATCTGACTTCAGTTATTTTGTATATATGGTGTAAGGTAGGGGTCCATATTCATTCTTTTGCATGTGCGTATCCATTTGTCCTAGCACCATTTTTTGAAAAGAATATTTTTCCCCTCATTTAATTATCTTGGCTTTTTCGTTGAAATGGTCAACTGATTTTCAGCAATATTCCATTGACTTATATGCCTAACCTATGCTAACAACACAGTGTTTTGTATACTATACATTTATAGTAAATTTAGAAATCAGAAAGTGTGAGTAACTCCATTTTAACAAATGCAGCAATTCACTTCTTACTAATATTAGTTGAAGCTGCAAAGCTCCAACTTTGCTTCCCCGCCCCACCAAGATCATTTAGCTATTATGGTTCCCTTGTATTTCCATATGAATTTTAAAATGAGCTTGGATTTTGATAGAAATTACATTGAATTTGTAAATCAATTAGGGAGTATTGCTGTCTTAACAATATTAAGTTATCTGCTCCATGAACATGGACTGTTTTTTCATTTATTTGCATCTTTATTTTTTTCATAAATGTTTTGTGGTTTTTAGGGCCAAGTCTTATGTTTATCTTCTAAAAACTATATTCCTAAGTTTTTTATTCCTTTGATTTTATTATAAATGGAATTTTCTTGATTTCATTTTTGGATTGTTCATTGCTAGTGTATAGACATACAACTGATATTTATATATTGATATTGTATCTTGCAGTCTGCTGAATTCATATATTAGTTCTAATAATTATTTTTGTGGCTTCCTTAATATTTTGTCTCTGCAACAACATGTCATCTGCAGACATGATTTTACTTTTTCCTTTCTGCCATCAATGCCTTTTATTTCTTTTTCTTGCCTACTTGCCCTAGCTAAATCAATGTTGAATAGACATGCCGAAAGTGGACATCTTCGTCTTGTTTCTGATCATAGAGCAGTCAGTCTTTGACCTTTAAGTATGATGTTAACTGTGGGAAACAGATTTCTTGAAAGAACCTTTAAAGCTTATTTATTCACCTTCTTTATTTAAAAGCTGTCTATCAGACATTATGATAGAGTACTGGTTAGTTGGACATAGGCAAAAGCAAATTCTCTGAAATAGGAAGTATATCATCATGTGGAACAGTTACCAAGAGCCCCTGTGTTAGTCTGGGGAAGTTGAACTTAAAGTATAATAATAATTAAGTTGAATTAAATTTTTAGAAAAGAACTAATTTATAGAGGAAGTAGTTGATAACTTAAAGGTAAATAAAATTGACCATGCAAGGGAGAAGAGAGTGTTCTAAGTGATAAAAATATTGAGGCAAGTGAAGTCATGGCCTGCCTGAGAAATACAGTATGTATTCCAGAGGGTTAACTTCCAGGAGGTGTTGCTAAGAGATGATGCTGGACAGGTAAACAGGAGCTAGATTATGAAGGTCTCGTGTAGGGCCTGTTATTACATTATAACTTTGCCTGGAGAGCGGCCAGAAGTCATTGAAGGATTTTAAGAAAGAAAAAAAAGGGGGCAGGGGTAAAATGAGATAATCTGATTTGTACTGTAGGAAAAACTAGGGTTCTAGTTGGGGCTAACAGCTGGAAAACTAGTTAGAGGTTTATTGCTGTAACCCAGGAAAAGATGATGGTGTACTGGACAGTGTCATGGCAGTAAAGACAGAGATAAGTGAAGAGATTCCAAAGAGATTTAGGAAGAGAAATTGGATGTTAGAGGAAGAGAGGACAAGAATGATTCCTAGATTTTTGTCTAGGGCAAAGGGGCAGATGCTGATGATCTTTAGTGATTTGGAGAATACAGGAGAAATAGTTGGGAAAAGGTAATGAATTTTGTTTTGGAGATACTGAGTTTGAGGTGCTCAGAACATATCCAACTGGGTATTTCCCATAGGTAATTGGATTTGATGTTTAGAGTAAAGAAAAAAAGGTCTCGGTTAGGTCTGTATGGTAGCTATACATTCTGTATGGTTATTGAAGACATGGTAAGGATTAAACTCCTTCATTCAACATATAGTCATTTACCAGTTCACAAGATACACTTAGAGATGGCACACACAACTCATCTTACTCTGTCCTCCTCTGACTGTCCTCTATCTTGTCTTTTTCCTGCCTTCCCTTCCTCTCACACCAAAACAGAAATTTCATATAACTTAGTGAAAAGGTAGTAATGTGTATTATTAGAGTATTACCATTAGCTTCTAATCCGCCACTTAAATACTGATGTTAGCAAGATTTCTTCTTGTAAAGATAACATTGTACCACAATATTTATTTCAATTTTAGTGTCTTAAAAACTTTTCTACATGATCCTCTTGTGGAGTGGAGTAAACCAGTGAAAGGACATTCCAAAGCGTCACTGAATGAAACTGGAGAAGTTGTCAACGAAAAGGTTAGTAGAAAGTGTAGCTTGATATGGGCTGTAGTCTTCATCTCTACAAGTGAACTTGATATGTAGCTATAGTTCTCATCTCTGTGCATGAGAACTGCTTGGAAATACTGTTAATGACTATTGCTTACTCTGAAATCTAGTTCTCTAGTATCACAGTGCCATAAGTGTTCTTTATTGTCAACAATGTTGACATTATTAGCATTTGTATAATAAAACAGTTCATGGCACACTTGTTTAACCATAGACAATTCACAGTTATGAGATACAGTAGGAAAAACAAGTATAAATTGCATGAACTTAATAGAACAACAGGTCTGAGCTTTAATATCATGATACCAGTGTGTCACAAGCTATCTTAACAAATGCAGCAATTCACTTCTTACTAATATTAGTTGAAGCTACAAAGTTTGCAGATAGATTTGTTGTTGCTGTTTTTGAGACAGAGTCTTGCTCTGTCATCCAGGCTGGAGTGCAGCAGCATGATCTTGGCTTACTGCAATGTCTGCCTCTCAGGTTCAAGCAATTCTCCTGCCTTAGCCTCCCGAGTAGCTGAGATTACAAGCGTGTACCACCACGGCTGGCTAATTATTATATTTTTAGTAAAGACGGGATTTCACCATGTTGGCCAGACTGGTCTAAAACCCCTGGACTCAAGTGATCTACCCACCTTGGCTGCCCAAAATGCTGAGAGTATAAACATAAGCCACTGCACCTGGCCCAGATAGTTATTTTTAATAAGTTAGAATAGACAGAGGATTTTTTTTTGGGGGGGGCACTCTTACATCTTTAATAAGTCTTGTACAGGCTTACTAAATACAATTAAGAATTATACCTACTATACCCTAATAAAGATTAAAAATTTACAATCCAGGTAACTACCTTAAGAGTTTAAGTCCACTTTCATTCTACTGATATAGCCTGAGGAAGGTTAGACACATATGCCCCCGTCCTTCATGTCAACCTTAACCCCTTTGTCTTGAGAAAGGAGGTTTAGCTGCTTTTTTAGTTCTTCAATTTCTTTTTCTTGCTCTATTATCTTTATCTGTACGGTGATATTAATATTTCCAGAATTTTGGTATAAAGTTCACTCTGTAGCAGTTGAATAGCAGATGGTTTCTGGGACATGTTCCTTTTCGTTAAGTTCTAGATACAGTTGGCTTATACTGGATACCTTTTACTGAAGGATTCCACTATTTGACCGGTATTTGACCAGTTCTTGAACCTGTTAAAACTTCTGCTTGCTCCATTTCTATTCTAAACAGCTGAAAGAGCTCCAGTAGGATCACAGTCAATCTCTACATATCTAACTGGACAGAGCAAGCCCTGATCTCTACAAATTGTTTTTTTTTTTTTTTTTTTTTTTTTTATTTCATTTTTGGTTTTGGGTTTATTTTTAAGAAAAAACAAATTTTTTTTTTAGGGAAACACATGGTAG